TGTTAACTGAAATATGTCAATTGGTATACCATCTATTCCTGGAGCCTTATTTTTGGCCATGTCCTTCAAAGCAGCCTGAACTTCTTCCTTCATCACCATAGGCTCTTGCTCATATGTTGTTTCATGAAGTTTCTCTTAGACTGGTGAAAAAATTTTTAATATAGACGGTGGTGACAAACTACAAAGTTGGTAAAGTCAACTAATGCCACTGGATTGCTCGTATATATCCTTTAAAGGAGAAAGGTCTGACCCATTGGGGATGCAACTTTCTAATAAATCTATCTTTACTATTTTACCTGCAAAAAAATATGGTTAAAGAGGCAAAATCTATATGTACTTAAGAAAAAAATACTGAGTGACCAACAAGAACAAATCCAAAGGAATCCACATCACGATACATAATTTACCTTCTGGAAGTTAAGCACACACAAAAAAATATCAAGAAAATAGCACAAGTGATACCTGATTTATAAGGGTAAAACAATTTAAAGGCTGTAGCTTTTCTCATCAGCTGTCATAAAAGCTAGATGGAAATTACATATTAATTTTCAAATAATAAATAACTGGTAATTTATCATTCTAATTCCAATGGGCATATTCTTTAGGAAGGAAAGAGAAAGAAAAAGTCTGAATAGAAAGAGTTTGAGAGAAAGAGGGGAAGAAGGAAGAAAGTGGACTGTTTGCTACAAAGGGAGAAATAGTCAATCACAAATCACTTGGGACACTTACATCCAGTTTTGCCCATAGTTGTTGTTGTTGTTGTTGAATGTCATCGAGCCAAACACAACTCATAGCGACCCTATGAACAAAAGATCTGAAGCCTTTCTATAACTAGCATTGTTTTTCTAAGTTCATAAAGTTTCCAGAGGCATGTTGATTAGAAAGTGGATGTTACTCCTGCTTCCAATATATTCCCTTTATTTTTTATGTACAATATACTTTATGATGATTTAGGTCATGCATGTTGTTGTTGTTATGTGCCATTGAGTTGCCTGCGACCCACAGCGACCCTATGTATAAGCAGTTCTGAATCCAGTCCTATTTTGAGCTAGTCTCACTGACTCCGATACACCAATCCCAATTGCTCCAGTCACTGTATCAAGCCATCACATCTGGGGTCCTCCTCTCTTGGGCTGTCCCTCCACCATTCCAAGCATGATGTCCTTCTTCAAGGATCAGTCTCTACTGGCCACGAGCCCACAGTATGTGGGACAAAGCTTCAAAATCCTAGCCTCCAAGGAGAAATACCACACATTTTGGGATTTCCATATTTAGAAATGCTCAATTTTTAGTTTATTTGACTTAGAATTTGAGAATGATACAGAACATTGCCTTCAGTTTTATGTGCTTTGATGTGACACATTGAAGGGCAGAGATGAGCAATGGCTTGAAAAGATTACATAAGCAATGGCTACAACATGATTGATGCAACTGCTGTCACTACTTGAAAATACACATGAAAAACACTGGATTGGCAAAAGTTGTGTAATGTGTATGTTTACAATAAAATTTTTACCTTTCAGTCAGCAGCATGCCTTTGGGGCTGCAGTGCAGCTTTTTACGACCAGGCCGCAGAGCTGCCTATTTGTCAAAAGTACAAAATTTTTCTGTCAATTCCATGTAATTTTTACTACAGCTGAAATTTACAATATTGCATCTTATCATCAAGCAGATAAAAGTCCTTACCACTGGGCCAGTGGACAAGATCATGATAGATGGAGAAAGGTTTGAAAATGTTAATTATTTCATCTTGCTTGGACCCACAGTCAACATTCTTGGTAACAGCAGTCAGGAGAAAAGGAGTGTATCACTTTGGGCAAGTCAGGGATTGCTGCAAAATACTTAAGAGCAATGATGTCAGTCTCAAGACTAAGGTGCACCTGATTCAGGCCATGGTCTTCTCAATTACTTGCTGTGCTTCTGAGAGTAAAGAATAAAGATGACAGATAAGTTGTGCTAGGGAAGATTATCCCATGGACTGCCAAAAGAACAAACGGGTATGCCTTGGAAAAGCTGCAACTGTCGTGCTCCTTTGGCGGCAAGGATGACAAAGCTTCGTCTTTCATACTTTGGACATGTCACCAGGAGAAGCTATCCCTTGAAGAAAGATATCATGCTTGGAAGGACCGAGGATCAGCGAAAAGAGAGTAAGATTTCCATCAAGATAAACTGGGTGACTGCAGGAGATATCAAGTGTATCAGAGATAGTGAGGATGACATAGTTATCTTGTTCATAAGGTCGCTATGAGTCATACCCGACTCTACGGCACCTAACAACAACAACAACAACATGGAGCTCTGGCGGCTTAATGCTAAGGAGTTGCCCCGCCAACCCAAAGGTACCAGCTCCGCCACGGGAGAAAGATGGGCAATCTCCTCCCCTCTGACTTACTGCCTCTGAAAACCCACTGGAGAGACAGCTATGAGTCGGTTCCCGCTCTGTGATGCACAATTACAACTCTATTTTCCCTCTACCAGTTAAGAGTTTCAGATCTGTGCCGAAATTTAATTTCTTTGCGGGAACAAGAAGCCAGAATTTCTCGTTCCCTCCAGAAATCAAAGCCAGAGCTTGTCCGATAAGAACAATGGCTTTTCTTTTTAGACCAGCAATTTTCCAAACCTATTTTGGCAACCTATCTTTTTGTCTTCTCTTTATCAAATCAACAAGGAAAAGCTGCGTTTGGGTGCAGTATGGCAACAACACAAAACTTTTCTTAAAATGCAACGCAGCGGAGAACACAACTAGTTAACTAAGTATGAACCCTCGGGCACCCGTAGATCGGATTCTGTGACTCAGGGACCGGAAGTGGCCGCCCCACCGTGGCTTCTCCTGAATTATAAACTCCCAGACCTTCCCCAGTGTGTTCCAAGAATGGAGGCTTCACGCCCTTCCTCTCTGGCGGGGAAGTTTGTGGTGGTCGGCGGTGGCATCGCGGGCGTCACCTGTGCGGAGCAGGTAGGGCGGGGCTCCAGAGGCCCGCCTCGTCCCTGATCTCTGAAGCTATGGAGTATGAATCCTCCGTCTTCCTCCCTCCCCTTGCCCTTCTTCCAGCTCGGCTCGATAGTTCCTTGGAATCTCGTAGCATCCTAGGTAGCAGAAACTTGGAGTACTCCCCAGATCTTCTCAGGCTTCCTTTAAAGTGCAGAGATGAGGTTTGGGGAGCAGATTATTAGTAGGAACCTAAACTAGGAACGCCAGAACAGTCAGAAAAATCCTTAACTCTAGGATAAGCCAGCTGTCTTAATTACCATAACCAGTTGAATTCATTTTCCTGATAGGTGCCAATTTCTTAGTGCATTTTAACTAATTGGTAAAGAGGCACTTAACTAAGTTCCTTATACTATGAACTCCCAAGATTAAACTCTCATTACTATTTTTAACACTAGGAACTCTTGATTCTATGCTACTTCTTTTTTGGTTCAGCATATTCCCTCTATCTTCACTTATTAGTCCCTGGATCACACAAGATTGTCCTCATAGCACCCTTCAGATTGCAAGTCAAGGTTTTAAAAATGCCGAATGAGTTCTTCACGTTTTAATTTCAGACTCCAGCTCTTTGCATATTTCATTTTAATACTTGGCTTTTGCCTTCTTGAGCTACTCTTTGAAATCTTCTGTTCATCTCCTTATTTCAGCATTTCTTCCTTTCACTTTGGCTTCTCATTCTAGTAAATTTTCAGTTTCTTCTGACATCCGTTTTGGTCTTCTTTCTCTATCTTTGTAATGACCTTTGGCTTTCTGTGTGGGTAATATCCTTGATGGCATCCAGAGATCATCTGGTCTTCTCATTAGTGTTCAGTGCCTGGAATCTATTCTTAAGAAGATGATTTTTTTTTTTTTAATTCAGGCAGGATTGATTCAAGATTATATTTTGGTTGTTGAATGTGTGTTTTACATTTATTCACCAAGTAATCCTTGTTAATGATCCAGACACTGTGTTAAGGACTGGTTGTTAGCCATCAAGTCTACTGAAAACTCATTGTGACCCTGTGAACAGCAGATCAGAACTTCCCCTAGGCTCAGATATAAATAGAACATGACACTTAAGGGATTCACAGTCTAGTGAAAGACACATATGTAAAGAAACCATTTCATCAGAGTTTACTGCTGTTGTTAGGGTCTTTGAAGAATTGGTATGAATGGAATTAAGGGAAATATTTCAAAGGGGATATCAATTTATCTAACAATAGGGAAAAAATTTGACCAGGTAAATTTGGGCATTTAACCACTACAGCACAAGGGCTGGGAATTTCCAAAAAAGAAAGCCATTCCAATTGAAGGCAGCACTGTAATGTCTAGCGAGAAAGTGACACCCCTGGGAGCAGCAAGACTTAAGAGAACATGGTGCTTGAGGAAAGTGACCAGAGGTAAAGCTGGAAAGGCAAAAGATATATATTACAGAGTCTTGTAAAGCATGTCAAGATTTATAAAAACTGGTCTACGCTGTAGGGAATTGTGCTGGTACCCAAAGGTTAACAACTCTTACCATGATTCTGTGAGAGAAAGGTAGGCAATCTCCTCCAGTGTGATTTAAAGCCTCGGAAAATCACTGGAGGGTGAGCAATGAGTTGGGTCGGACTCACCAACAATGAATTTGAACTAGATTGATTATCATGTGTTTGAGGTAGGACTGATAGGCCAATTTGAAAGTGAGTTCAGTAATATTGAGAAGTTTTGAAGTCCTAATCTAGCCAATCAGGGAGCTCTTGTGGCTTAGTGATAAGTAGTGGTGCTACCAGCTCAAAGTTCTGTGGTTCGAATCCACCAGCTACTCCAAAGGAGAAAGTTAAGCAGTCACCTCCTATGTGATTTACAGCCTCAGAAAGCCTTCTGTAGGGTCAGCTATGAGTTGGTTCAGGCCTATCAATATATAACAACGATGATGTCTAATCATAGGAATAGAGGGGATGAGGGGACCGGGAGAAAAATTACAGAATGTACAAAGGAAATAATTCAAGATGGAGTGATAGTTTAATGGTGTCCAAAGTTCAGATAAGGTAAAATCAGTACAGAAGCAGATTGCTAATCTTTCTTCTGAAGCTTCATGAGTTGTTGTTTGATTGGACCGTGGGCATTTAACCACTGCAGCACAAGAGGTCCTAGGATTTTTTGGTGCATTAGAGATTTCAAGAACTCTAGTGGCCTAGTGGCAAGAGGCTGCGCTACAATCCCGAAGGCCCACGGTTCGAGGCCACCAGCTGCTTTGCGAGAGAAGAATGTACAATTTACTGCCTCTGAAAACCCACCTGGGGGTCAGCTATGGGTAGGTTCGACTCCACGGAAAACAGCAATGACCACCAGACCCTGCACTGCAGTCCTAAAGGAAAGAGGTTCAAATCCACCAGATGCGGTGCAGGAAAAGCATAGACAATGTTCACCTGTGCCATTAACTGCCTCTGAAAACCCACTGGAGGGTCAGCAGTGGGTCAATTATGACTCCACCACACACAACAGCTTTAGAGATTTAAAAAACAAAAATCTCAATTGCCATCAAGTCTATTGTGACTCATGGTGGCCTCATGTGTTTCAAAGTAAAACTGTGCTTCAAGTTGCAGTTATGTCCTCTCAAGTCAGAACTGAATCATAGCTGGCCCTTCAGTGGGTTTTCAGAAGCTGTAAATCACGTAGGTGATCTTTCTGAAGTAGATTATGGGGCTTTTCTTCTCAAAACTCTCTAGATGAACTAGACCTTCTGATTCATAGCCAAATACATAATTGTGCCAGTTTTAGAGATAGAAGCTGGGTAAAAAAGGTTAGTGGAGTTAAGGAGCTGGTTAACGAGATCACAAAATGCTTTCAGAAGTTTCGAAGTAAGAAAGAAAGGTATAAATTAGAAAAGTAAGAAACAGATTAAACCTCTGAACTTTGTTAAAGCCTTACTAAATAACTGTGTTCTTATCTTACTGGTTAGATATTTAGAAGAGACAGTATAGGAGTAAAAGCAGTTGTGAATATGAGACAAGTATTCTAAGTGTCTTTATTAAAGATTCACTATCATTTCATCCCAATGAAGACAATTTAGATTCTCCCCCTTGGTTTATTTGAAAGTAAATTATGTTTTTAATTAAAGAAAATATTTCATTTCCTGGATTGATTTAACTTAATTGATATGATAGTTTATACTCATCCACTTCCTTATTAAATTGATATATAAAATACTTAAAGTAAATAGGGCCTACCTGCTCACCATCAGTGAGACTGGCTAAGGACAGGACAGGCTTCAGAGTTGCTGTGCATAGGGTCACTGTGAGTCACAGGTGACTTGACGGCACATAACAACAGCAACCCACTGCCTTTGAAATGATTCCTTTTCATTACTGTGTGGCAGTGAATTTTAGTAAGAGCAGACTACCTCATCTTTCTCCCACAAAATAGCTAATGGATTTGAACTGCTAAACTTTGTTTGCAGCCAAATACTTCATACACTGTATCCTTAGGGGTCCTTTAAGTAAGTAAAGCATACCTTTATATTACCATTTTTGTTCAGTGAGTGTTTGTTAGTGTAAATAATGATTTTTTCCATTAATATCAAAGCTTAGAATTATCACAGATCCATAAATATAAAAATTACTTAGAATAATGGACACAAATAGCAGTACTAAAATTACTCTGTCCCGATGTTCAAGCTGGATTTAAAAGGGTCCATGGCAATAGGAATATCATTGCTTATGTCAAAGGGATTCTGGCTGAAAGCAGAGAATACCAGAAGAATGTCTTGTGTTTTATTGACTATGCAAAGGTATCAGACTGTTTGGATCCAATGAACTATTGCTAACATTGAGAAGAGTGGAAATTTTAGAACATTTAGTTAGGCTATACAAAGCCTATACCTACACCAATCAGCTGTTTTACAGAGCAAGGGAAGACTGCATGATTTAAAATCAAGAAAAGTGTGCATCAGGGCTGTGTTCTTTCTCTATTCCTATAGAATCTGTATGCTGAACAAATCGTTCAAGAAGCTGGACTTTATGTAGAAGAACATGTCACTAAGATTGGAGGAAAACTCATCAACAATTTGTGTTATACCAGTGGCACAGCTTTGCTTGCTGAAAGCAAGGAAGATTTGAAATGCTTGTTGCAGAAGATCATGGACAACTTTCAGTGTGGATTACATCTCACCATCAAAGAAAGAAAAATCTTCACCACTTGACCAATAGGCAACATCATTAGTTGGAGAAAAGATTGAAAATATAAAGGATTTTGTCATACTTGGTTACACAATCAACAGTCTTGCTACCAGCAGTCAGGAGATTAAGACACATATTGGATTTGGCAAGTCAAGTGTCAGGGACCTCTCTTCAGATTGCTTAAGAGCAATCAAGTTACTTTGAAGACTAAGGTACCCCTGATTAAGACCTTGGTCTTTCAAATATCTTGCTTTTCCTCTGCAAATTGGACAGTGAATAAAGATGACAGAATTGATGTCTTTGAGTTGTGGTATTGGAGAGGAGTATTGACTATCCCATGGACTGACAATAAAAACCCACCCAAAAAAAATATGTCTTGGTGAAAGTTCAGCCTGGGTGCTTCTTTGAGGCAAGGATGGAAAACTTCATCTCATATCCTTTGGGCGTGTTGTTCAGAGAGGCTGTTCCTTGGAAATGGACATCATGCTTGGAAAAGTGGAGGGATAGTGAAGTAGAGGAAGACCTTCAGCAGGGTGGATTAACACCTTAACTACAGCAATGGACATGGGTGTGTCAGAGATGATAAGCCTGGAATAGGATAGGATAGAGTTCAGATCTGTTCAGATCATAGAGTGTCATTCACATCTCAATGGTACCTAATAACAACAACACCCATACTAATACCTGAACTCATCAGTCATATTTTTCTTTTTTTTAGTTGGCTACTCATTTTCCATCAGAAGACATTCTCCTGGTTACAGCTTCCCCGGTTATTAAAGCAGTCACAAATTTCAAGCAGGTAAGAGCCTTTGTAACTTTTCTTACTGTGATTAAAAAGTAAGTAGTAACTTGCTATTTGAGTATTTAGACAAAGGTAGTGGCTTCATTGTTTACAATTACAAATGTCATTATCAAAGGGGCATGGAATATCAAAGAGGCATAAAATAAATATTCATAATAAAGATAAAGGTTGTGGAATTATGGTGTCTCCCTTAAAGTTTTATGAACTTCAAGGGATCTAAAATAAGAACTTACTCAAAATAGTTTTCTGAGTAAGAGTGTTGGGGTTGGGGAGGTACCCATGGGTGGTACAGACTACAGGGGGAAGAAAATTCATCCACAGTTAAAGGAATAAAAGCCAAAGTTTCTAGTTCTGAAGATGTTGGAGAACAAACCTGTTTTTATTTTTGCTTACAAGTGGCCATGTTTTGTGACCGAACACATGTATTAAAAAGGGGAGCATTTACATTTGTACTAAAATAATAGTTTTCGTCAGCAACTATTTCACTGTAGTGATTCTCAATACAAAAATTTAAAAAAGTTTTAAAAGTGGGGGAATAAAATAGTATTGAATTTCAAATTCTTTTTCTCCTCCCATCTTTTCCTTTCATTTAATATTTATGTCAATTAGAAAATTTTCAGTAAGATTGTTTTGAGGAATTGCTAGGTAAATCTGAACGCATATATATTAATATACCTTGTGCCACTGGGTGTCAAATGCCATAATGGTTACCCATGGTGGACAGTGTTTGGTGGAGCTCCCAGTTTAAGACAGGTTTGGAAGCAGATGTGGCATACACTTTCTAAACAACATGCCTCTGGAAACTATGAAATTTGAGAAAAGATGATAGTTATAGAAAGGCTTCAGGTCTTTTGTTCATAGGGTCACTATGAGTCGTGCTCGACTTGACAACTATCAACAACAATAGTATGTGCATGTATATTGTTTACAAATCAGAGGAAAAAGTATTCTGGGCCAAGTTATGCTTACAGATAATGTTTTAAATATATAATAAGCATGTCAAAACTTTTAGATTCATGAACTTATCCATTATAGTGTTAGATCATTAGAGTTTGAGTCCATAATATCATAGGAACATGGTCTCTAAACTTTTGATCTTGTATTAACCTACAAAAAATCTTTAAATGCATGTGTGTGTGTGTGTGTGTGTAATTTTGTCAATTATGTACGTATACTGTGGTGTTAACATAAGGAATGTTACAAAGCCTGTGGCATCTTAATTTGATGAGTAGTGTATGGGATCTCAAGCTCATGAATGGCCATAAAAGCAAAAACTATCTTCTCTTCCTGAGCAAAGGAGAATGAAGAAAGATTCAAGATTCCCAAGATTCAAGGGAATAATTGTCCAAAAGAAGACGACTGTCCCACTTGGACCACAGCATATTGTAATTGGAAACCAGAAGAATAAGATAGTACCCAACTACCACTCTTGACCATTCATACCAGAGACAATAGGAGGTCTTGATTAGAATGGAAGAAAAATCTGTAACAAAACTCAAATTTATAAAAAGAACACTAGGCTTAAATAGACCTAAGAAAGAGAGAGGAACTCCCATAACTTAAGTCACCCTTCAAACATAGAATTGAAAACATTCCTGGAAGCCACCTTTACCAACTTATAAACTGGCATATAATATAAATAACACCTGTGAGAAATGGATAAAAAAATAATACATTTGCCACAAAATAAAGATGAAATGCAAGAAAGGGCAGGGAAACTGGACAAATAGAAACAGGGATGCCAGAGTGGAAATCAGAAGAGCACTGACACATTTTGGGAGTCACAGCCAATGGCATGGAACAATCTGTGTGAATGACCAGGTAGATTATCGAACAATATCATTGATATCACATGCAAGCAAGATTCTGCTGAAAATTATCCGAAAACGTTTGGAACAATATGTTAACAGAGAACTGCCAGATGTGCAGGCTGGATTTAGAAGAGGTCGTGTACTAGGGATATTATAGCTAATGTTACATGGATGTTGGCAGAAAGTAGAGAATACCAGAAGAGTGTCTATCTGTGCATCATTGACTATGCAAATTCTTTTGACTGTGTGGATCACAGCAAGCTATGGCTGACTCTGAGAAGAATGGGAATCCCAGAACACTTGATTGTGCTAATGTTAAACCTGTAATTGGACCAAGAGGCAGTTGTCAGAACAGAGCAAGAAGACACTGGATGGTTCAAAATCAAGAAAAGGGTCCATCAGGGATGTATTTTGTTTCCATACCTTCTCAATCTGTATGCAGAACAGATCATCCGAGATGCTGGGCTATAAGAGGAGGAATGTGGCATCAGGTTTGGCGGAAGAATCATCAACAACCTGCATTATGCAGTTGACACAACCCTGCTTGTTGAAATTGAAGAGGACCTGAAGCGCTTGCTGCAGAAGGTCAAGGACTGCAGCCTCCTATATGGATTGAAGCTCAACATCAAGAAAACAAAGATTCTCACCACTGGGCCAATTGGCAGCATCAGTATGGATTGTGAAGAGATAGAGATAGTTAACAGTTTTAGTTTACTTGGTTCCACAGTCAACAATCTTGGTAACAGCAGCCAAGGAATCAGGAGATAGATTGCATTGGGAAAGTCAGCTGTGAGGAACCTCTCAAGAGTACTGAAGAGCAACAACGTCAGGCTGGAGACTAAGGTGCACCTGACCCAGGCTATAGTCTTTGCAGTTACGTGCTATGCATTGGAGAGTTGGACAGTGAATAGGGGTGATAGAAAGAGAATTGATGCCTTTGAGTTGTGGTACTGGAGAAGAGTGTTGAATATACCATGGACTGCTAAGAGAACAAAGAGGTTTGTCCTGGAGAGGGTAAAGCTGGAATGCTCCTTGGAGTCAAGGATTCTGAAGCTTCGTCTGACATACTTTGGGCATGTTGCAAGGAGGGACTGGTCCTTGGAGAGGGACATCATGTTGGGAGAGTAGAGGGACGGAGCAGGAGAGGAAGACCCTCAATGAGCTGGATCTATTCTGTGAGTGGAGTGGTGGGAATGAGTGTGTTTGAGACGGTGAGGTTGGCACAGGATAGAGCGGCATTTAGGGCTCTTGTACATAGGGTCGCTATGAGTCGCAAGCGACTTGATGGCACACAACAACAACAACATGGAAAAGCCCACCAAAACCATAGTCAAAGGCCATGAAAAACAATATATTACAATAGATTGAGTGACGAAACAGAGTGTAGAAGCAGTTTAAATATAGAACCGTATAAGCAGCCTTCTTCTGTTAAGCTAGGCATTAAAGAAATTGATAAAAAAATTAAAAATTCCCAATGAATTGTTTTGTTTTAAAAAATGCAATTCTCTTTACCAGTGTATTTGTTTAATATATTGGGTTAATAATTGGTAAGTTCTTAGAGGTTTCCCCCCCTTTTTTTTAATTTGTAAAAATGTCTATGGAGTACAAGGTGGTAAGAGTTGGGGGCAGAAGAGTGAGGATGGACAGGATGAAACCACAGCGCTGAATAATTTGGCGGGTGGAGGGAGTGGGCAAAGGAAGTGAGAAAGATCCTGTGGGGACCAGAAAAGACATGGTAATGGTGAGCATAGTCCAATGGTGATTATTTTTTTTTCAACATCAGGCGAAATTTTATTCTGTTGTACATAAGACTGCCATAACTTGAACATACCTAACAACAACAACAACAAGACTTCAAGTAATCTAGTTAATCAGATCATCAATCAATAATATTTTTTTCACTTATAGTACAAATGGAAACAACAATGCCCCCCAAACATATAACATGAATATATTGAATAATAGAATAATGGAACATATGAGGACAGTTGAATGGCTTTTGAAAACTGTACAAGGAGATCGTCACTTCTGTAAAAATAGGGTACAATTATTTTTACACCCACTTATCTATAGGGAACTTGTGCTGCTAACCCAAAGGCCATGTTCTCTGGTGGTTCGAATCCACCAGCACCACTGAAGGAGAAAAGATGGGTGTCTCCTCCATACAACTTACAGCCTCAGAAACTGGCTGACTAGAGGGTCAGCTGTGATTTGGTTCTCACTCTACATCAGTGAGAGAATAAGTATCTTGAAAATGTTGTAAAAGACTTTCCTAAGGCTTGTCCTAACTTTTTAGTATTTTTAATCTCTTACCTTTAATACTTATCAAAGAAGCCCTAGTGGCAAGACTTGACTTAACTGACAAGTTATGCCTTTTTTTTTTTTTTGCTTTACTACTTGACTTTATTATTTTCCAGATGTGATTCCCCTTTTGTGGGGGGGGGGATTTCCATTTATTCATTGTTGCACTATTTTCTCTACCCTCCCCCCAGTTCATTCCTCTTTTTTTCCCCCTTGAAAGTCTATTTTAATTGTCCCATTGCCACAGTGCTTGTCAAAGCCAGTTCTGATTAATCTCCTTTGTCAGTGTGTCCTTTGCCATTCCCTGTCACTCCTCCCTGAGAGAGACTTCACCCTGATTCATAAGGAAAAGGGGATGGCGTATTTTCTTAGCTACTTCCTGCTGAAAAGGGACGCTGTAGGTTTCAGGGTGAAGATATTCTCTCACTACTCTAAAGGGCCCCTTTGGCAATAGGAAACACGTAGACTATTATGGAGATTGATTTTGGAATTTAGATGCACTGTTATCAATTGTGCTTAGCTGTACATGTTCATATCCTTGAAGATGTATCATGGAACTCTTGCAGCCTAGAAGACACAAATTTAACTAACAAGTTAAAAGTACATGAGTCAAAAATTAAAAAGCAATAATATATTCCAAGTAGAGGTTCTAATAGTGGCACAAATCAAGTTACAGAGGGAAGGTAGTTCTTACAGTAAAAGGCCTATTGACTAGCACTTTGTCTACTATAGTATAAAGGTTAGGAACCACAAGATGTAGTGGCTCAACTATGTGATTTATTGTTCTTAAGTCCTGGGACAAATTCCATCTACCGCTGGGTTGTTTTACAACTCGGAAGTCCGCATGCAAGGCAGAGGTGAAGTGAGGAACTGTTTATGAGGTTT